CCAGTTTGTCTTTTTACAATTATTTTTCATTTTGTGCTTTGCACGTTGCTGAGACCTCTGCTCCCTGCCCACTGTATAATGTTTTTCCTTCATTTTTCACTCCTTGTCCATCTTCCCCCTAGTACTCATTCCCTCTCACTTCCTCTGCCTTCTTCCCCTCCTATTCTCTGCCATCTTTTTTTCTTTCTTTCCTTTCCGTCTTCCATCCTTTACCTTTCTCTCTCTCTCTATATATATATATACACATATATATAAGTGTATATATATATATATATAAACACACACATAGATATATACACTTTTCCTTTTAAGACTAAGCCAATTTTCATTCATCCTCTAGTATTTAGTTCGTGCTTCATCTCTAGCAAGCTATTCATTTTTATTTTAATAATTATATAATTTTCTCCTCACAAATTCTCATTTACAAGCTCTATATCTATATGCTTTTTTCTGAAGACTAACTGCTTAAAATGGCTGCCCACACTCTACAGGGTATGCATATTTAAAATATTTATTTGAAAGGAAAAGAAAGGGTGTACCAAGTAGAAACAGTTCAAGACTCTCAGGGGCCCAATTTGCATGGAAAACTTCTTGTCCTCACTGTCAACCAACATCTCTCTGAGTGAAGCAGCTCAGTGAAAGTCTTACTGAACTTCAAGGCAAGCTGAGGGTTTGTTTAGGACAGGTGAGAACTCCCAGGAAAGGTAATGATTTCAAGGACTGCTAAGGGAATTTTCCTGTGCATCACATATTCCAGGGATCATATTACGGCTAAAAATCAAGTGGTAGCCTTCTGAGAGGCTGAGTCAACACTGAAATTCTCCAGCTGAATTGTAAACCAATTCTCTCTATACAACTTATAGCAAAGAATCTTCCAAATGATTTGACAATAATGATTTATATGCCACATGACCCCACAGATAAGATTGTGATCGTTTTGCTCTACTATATGTATACTTTTAAAAATCATAATACAACTATTTCATCTTCACTATTATTATCCAATGATGTCAGATCTATTGCTTTTTCCTGGTAAACTTTATTTTTAAATCAAGTGATAACTATGCAATCATGGTTCTATCACTGCCTCATTGTATTGATTGTTTAAAAGTAAATGTGTATCATACCCATAGTTGTCATCATTTCTCAAACTTGGGGACATAATAATAGGTTTATAGCAAGAGAGAAATGAAGTACTGATTTTTCTGACATTGATGGTTATTCACAATTCAGAAATATTTATCAAAAGGAAATAACTATATCCACTGGAGTTATTTTAAGCAGTGAGCTAGTCTTCAAATAAAATTCTAAAATTACTTTCTTTTGTTTATGTATATCATTAGATAAAATAAATATGTAGAATTCTGTATGTTCTGATGTCTAGAAACTATTTTTATTAAATATCTGTTTAGGTTGATCCATCTCCATCAATAAGAAAATACATTTTATTGCAAGTAACCATAATCAATGTTAAGGAAAACTAAGATGTAATTTCAGCTTATATTACATAGGAAAGGAAACAGAAAAATTAAATGAATTGGGTAAATGTAGAAATGTAGATATGATTTCATAGAGACCTGGTATGTCTACTGGAATGTAATCACTTTAAACATATTACCAAGAAATTTTATATTAATGAATTAACTTAATCCACAGTCTACACTGCACTCCCATCACATTTCACATGTTATTATGAGATTAATTATACAAAAATGACAATGATGTAAATTGTAACAGCAGAATCCTTGCTTCCTTATCAGATGATTTAATATAATAATCATATTTAAAATGAATAATTTTATACACTATTTGAGAACTATGATTAAGCTTTGCAAATGTGATTTCTAAGTCAGTTCACATTTTTATTTTTTTCAGTGTTTATATGCTATTGAAATCATCAGAAGACCTGAAGATAAGACATAATTTCTTTGTTCATAGACATAGGTTTTTACTTTCAACTTGGTCATTTCATCTTGTAATAATGCACTGGAATGCATTATATGACTTTCAAAAGTGATAAAAATTATAAAATATAAACACAGGCAAGTAATGGAATGGAGTGTTGGCTCAGTGGTTCAGAGCACTGGCTGCTCTTTCAGAGGACTTATCTGCAATCCTTAGCACCCACATGTGACTTACTATCATCTTTAACATCATTCCAAGGATGTCCAATGTAGTCATATGTCTGATGAGTGCAACTGAATTAGTAAACATTTATATCAAAAAAGGGAAAAATCCTTGGAGACTTTTGACATCTGCCCAATTTGAACTGTATATTATTTCGATTTTATATTTTAGCTCCTAATAAAACACATAATAAATATGATTTTAGCTTGATAATTCCCAATAATGTAAAATGGAAATGTGTGCAAGTGTCAAAATCTGTATTAACAGAACAGGGCCATGACTCCATGTATAATCTTTCTTACTACCATTCTTTGAGACATACATAGTGGAAGAAAAAAATGACTCCCTAAGGTCGTTTGTTGACAGCCACCTTCCTTCTATGGCATGAGTATGCATGCAATATTACATATACAAATAAATAAATGTAATAAAAATAAAAATATATTGGTCAAGCTGAGAGATATAAGTTTATATTATAGTACCTAAAATGGGAGAAAAAGCAAACCAATTAAAAAAGCAAAAGACAATACTGTGATTTGGTTTTGTGGGTGTCACATTAATCTGAGCAGCCTAGTAACTGGTCTTAAGAACATGGTATAAAAATTTTAGTTAGACTACACTTCTGTTGGTTTACACTGTAATATAAGAATGAACATTTTCTTAATAATTTCAGTGTTAAGTAAAACATAAGCAGTAATATTTTTCCAACCTTGAAATTTTCCTGATAATAAAATTATGGCAAATATTAAGCAGCCTTTTCAGTTAGCAACAACATCAGCGAGGGAACTAAAAATCTCTCTTCTAGTGCAGAAGTGTTTCTATCTAAAGAAACATAATAGAGGGATTTCTGCTAATATTTTTGCTTTCTGCAGTGCATTAAAAATGTGTTGCTACCATATAAACAATTTAATCATTCCTCAACTTCACTTATAATTTGCAATGAATGGTGCTGATTATAGCCTCCAAAACTGTTTGAAGTCCAGATACCAAGTAACCATAGAATTTAGTCAATCCTATATGGGACATTTCCGTCCTATTTCTATCTATCCCCAAGGCCTCAGGAAAACTAGAGGAGCAGGGCAGAAAAATTATAAGTTATAGATTGGGCAAGATAATACCTTCCGGACATGACAGGACTGTTATACTCCTGAATTCTCAAAACCTGATAACCTGCCAAAGGAAAAGAAAAAGAGCATTATATTTCCATGTGTAATTCTAAGGCAAGAGCAAAATACATAGGACAGACATATGAAAAGCATGAAAAAAAGTGAACAAATTAGTTATCCCATACAAAACAGCTATGAAAACACACATAAAAGTAACATTTGAACTGAGTAGGTTACATTTAGGAATAAATAAGTATTGTATACATATATGTATAAAATATTAATGACAAAATGCCATACATATGAAGAAAGATGGGGAGAAGTATTGGGGGATTGGAAAGGAGGAGAGAGAAGGGAAACTTGGTATTATGTTGTAATATTTAAAGAAGCATTAAAATAAAGAGAGCACAAGAAGTCTCATGCCTCATTTGATATTCACTTACAAGACAAAACATTGCAGTAGTAAGTTATGTATTGAAAAATTATTCTGTCCATAATAACAGAAAGGCCATAAGATATAGAGAAATGAATATGTCCTTCAAACTAAGAGTGAATATCTATAAGTCCATCTTTAGGGATTCTAATCATAAATATTATGATATTCCATGTAAGATTATGATCTGTGTATCAACCCTCATAATGGCAAACATGTGAGGTACTGTGTTTAGTTACTGAGATGCATTATCTTGCTGGGCGGTGGTGGTGCACATCTTTAATTCCAGCACTTGGGAGGCAGCGGCAGGCAGATCTCTGTGAGTTTGAGGCCAGCCTTGTCTAAAAGGGATAGTTCCAGGAAGGCTCCAAAGCTACAGAGAAACCCTGTCATAAAACACCAAAAAAAAAATGAATTCTCTTATTTTCCTTGTGACAATGCCTTATAATGCTGACCTGTGCACTACTCTGAAGATTGTAATCATACGTCTAACTACTACCTGTCTATTTGGAGATTATATATATATATATATATATATATATATATATATATATAGAGAGAGAGAGAGAGAGAGAGAAGGTAATCAATGTATTAACATATTTATTTTATATGTAGTACTTTATCATATACCATTTAAGAGCAGGTATATGAGCACTGAGCCCCAGCACGGGCTGTCCTTTGATACTGAAGCAGTACTGTGAATGTCTGTGACCTGTTTATTGCAAACACTGCATTTCAGCCACAGTTTCACCATGACCAGAATGTGCAGCATGTATAATCTTGCAATGTAATTAGTTTGAAATTGAGGAAGCTTAATTTTAAAATTGAATTGTTCATGAAAATCTATTTTCATACTCTATAGCTGAAGCAGTTTCTCTTCATAAAATGTTTTATAGTTGTTTGAAGAAATTAAGTGTAGTTAATCAGAAAGAACATTATGGTTTGACACCTAATTTGAAAGCCCTGTCTTGAAACAGTGAATGATGGCCTATGGAATTACATAGGCCAATAAGAACCCAAATAGGAAATCCATTTATGCTAAAAGTAGATTTCAGTATGGATTAAGTGTGTGCTGCTGTGTCTTTGTGTGAGACATATTTCCTGCATTATATATGTTCGCTAAAATACACAATTCATTGTTTAACAGGTTGAGAAATACTAAACTAATAACATGGTGAATTATCCAATTATATATAAGAAAACATATCACTGACCTTAATTCTCTGTGAAAACAGAAAACAACAATGAAGATTCAAAGCACTAAAAGACAGTGGCAGAATAGTGTTGGTTCAGCGTTATGATTGCAGCTCTTTACTCTGTCCTTTGTCCTTCAGTTCCTCCAATCATTGTGATGCCCCAGAAGTCCTTCAATGCTACTGCAGAGAGAGGAGAAGAGATGACATTAACTTGCAGGGCCTCAGGCTCTCCAGATCCTACCATCTCTTGGTTTCGGTAAGTAAAAGACCCATGTCTTCTATGTGGTGTTCTTGTGCTCACAGAGTAATATTTGAAACTACAATTATATAGAAAGAAACAAACATTGTCTAGGCTCATTCAAAATATATATTATCTAACACCAAAGAATCATCTCTGAAATCAGACAATAAGTAACATTTTATAAACTGAGTGGGTTTTATTGTGGAATATATGTACACATAAACATATCTAGATGTAACAAAAATTAATAAGAAAAGATAGCATGGATTTGAAAGAGAACTTTTTGGCCCTTTTTTCTATTTGTTTGTTTTGTACTATTCTAGTTTGACTGTTTTTTATTTCATTGTTTAAATGCCTCTTTGTTTTCTAAGGAGAAAAAGGAAGAAAGGTTGTGAAATATTATGAGAGGGGAAGTAGGGAAGACCTGGCAGGAATTTAAAAAAGAGAACCAAAATGAAAATATATTGTATGAAAAAAATCTATTTTTAATAAGATAAAAAGAAAAGCAAATAAACAAGGAGATTTTAGAAGGAGAAAAGGATAAGGAAATGGTATAACTGTTTTATATCTCATAAATAACAGAAATAATGAAACAAGCTCTAAAAATAATTGACAATTAGTGTGTTTGTATGAATGTGCGTGCGTGTGTGCGTGTGCGTGGGTGTGAGTAGTACTGGTGTGTACATATCATAGCATATTTATGGATATCAAAGGACGACTTTCAAGATCTGGTTCTTGCCTTTCACTGTGGAAACTAGAATAAACTTTGATTTCCAAACTTGTTAGTACTTTACCTCAATGAGGCATCTTGCCTGCCTCAGGTGCTATTAATTACTGGCTAAGTATATTAGATTGGATAGATGAAGAGTACAGCATGTGAGCTTGTCGTAAATTCCCTTAGGGAAAGATTGACAGAGACTGCTTACTGGAACTACAGAGGTATTTTTTGTTCAACGTTGGCCCTGCAGCCTTGTTACTGATTGAGTCTATGTTTTGCTGCTGGAACAAAGTCTGTATTAAAATGAATGTTTTAGCATTCTTAACAACCATATTGTTTGAATGCAACATCACTTACTATTATATCAAAGAAACTGCATATTTTCTTTTGTACTACCTTATAAAATAATTATATATATATATATATATTTCAAGAAGTTATTTTTTAATTTAAAAAAATTACTCATAAAAAGAAATTAATGTATTCTAAAAACTATTCTTTAATTGTTTACTTCTGCCTATTATTTTAAGTTTGCTAATATGCTTCGATTCCATTATTACCAAGCATCATTTTATTGTTCTCTATTATCTTTGACTGTTGCTCAGAGGAAAAAATTGAAGACAATAAAGCTTCAAAAGGCCAATCTTGTACGTAAGCATTAGAGCACAGTTTATGCGGCTAAGGATTTGGCTTAGTCACTTAAGTGCTTACCTCATAAGCATGTGGTCCTGAGTTAGATTACATCGCTATGAATATTCCAGACATGCTGGTATTGTTGTCAATTTAAGGATAAATAGGTGGATACACTACGATCATAGAAGATCACTGGCAAGCCCCTCTAGGATAAGTGATGAGCCCAGTGACAAACAGTGTCAAGAAGCAAATGACAGCATTCCTGAATGTCATATCCTATATTATACTCTGGCTTCACAAATATACATACTTAAGTATTTTATACATACTTATATAAATATGTGTATAATATGTATTATAAAATACTTAATATACAAAATATAAATATGGAGTTTATTGCAGGAACACTAAGACTTTTAACAATTGTTATACTTATAAATGACAATCTGTAAAAAAATATCACAAAGTAATTAGTATTGAATGAAATAAAGGAAATAGAAAGGAAAGAACATGACTGCTCCTAGGTACAGTGGAAAGAAATTTTATGGTAGGAAAGCATAGTCAGAGACAAGGACATCTGGAAGAGTCTACTTCACTAGACTTATCTGGGTCATGTGAAAGATGTGGAAGAAAGAGGAGAGAGAAGATAAGAAAGAGGGGAAACAGGTGCAGCAGCCAGGATGCCAAAGGGAAGGGGCAGGTAATCAAAATGTCTGGATTATATAGAGATGAGGTTCTGGAGGAAGGCAGATCAGCCTCTGTGTTGAAGACTTCAGAGGAAAGAGTGGGCTATGTAAAATGTATCCTCTAAAGGGTAGGGACTGAGGGATATTGGGAGAATCTGGTGGCCAGGTCAAATTTTAATATGTTAAATAGGCACCTCCGCTGTTTGTCCTAGGTTTGAAACTTAATAACTATAGTCTGTGTGTATACAAAGATAAAATTCACAATATTTAAACTTTGTAATTTGTTTTAAAAATAACAATATCCACAACTATTTTTATTGCTCTTTAAACAAGTTTTGATAATAGGATTTTAAGATCTTTATCTTGTTTATAATTTTATCATAGTAGTATTCAATAAGCTTAATAGTTCTACAAACAAGGTGAATGGAACTTATTTATGCAGATTTTAATTCGTGGTAATAATATTTTACTGGGATTTTCCATCAGACATTAGCATACTAACCGAAGGCAATCATGTATCTCCGTGAGTGCTGGATTCCAAATAATCCCTTGAGTTCACAGTATATCTAATTGAGTCATGGAAAAGTTCCTATGTCATTCATTCCCAAGAACAAATAATTATCTAGACCATTAACCTAATGATTATACATGCCCAGAGGTATTTAACTTCTGTTCTTAAATTTCTTGAAAATTATTTTCTTATACTTTTTGGAAATAAAATTATCATAAGAACTAAAATTAATCGAGTCCAGAATGTTTATATTTCTTCATCTGTATGCCTTCAAATACCATTTTTTGGTGATAATGGAGAATACTTAGAATCCAAACAATTTTTTGGTGTCTGATTTAAAAAGAAATGTTTTGTGTGAATAGGATTGTATTGTTGTAACATTTGTAGAGATATATTTATTTTACTGAAAATTTTATTTGATCCCATTTTTCTGTAGATATAGCATATCAAAACGTTGAAAATAAATTCTTGTGAACACTGGGAAGTGTATTTAAATGCATTAAAGGATCCAGATAACCTGCTAAGCAGAGATGGTACACACAAGTGATATGATAGGAGCCCACTGAGTTAGTATCAACAGCTGCTGTAAGAAAACACATGTATTAGATGACTAAAATAACAGAAATGTATTTCTCCACATTTCTGAAGGCTTTGTATCCAAGTTCAACGTACCAATGGGACTGGTTGCTGATGAGGACTTTCTCCCAGCATCTTGATGTCCACTTCTTCACTTTATCCTGTTACAGCCTTTCCACTGCATATAAATGCGGCTTTTTTATTTTTTTTTTCAGATCATAGGTTCTTTGAGATTGTGAGATGGCACAGACATGGGAACTTTAGTTCTATCCATACAATCCACGTAACAGATATGTGTTTGCATTTTCGTGCTTGTAAAACCAGTGCTGGAAAGGAGGGAAAATGCCATGTGGATTATGGAGCTCAACCGTCAATCAAACTTCACACACACACTACCCATCAAATGCAAGTGTCACTTATTCAAACACAAACTTGTTTTATTTCTTTAATTTTTGAAGTCTCTGTCTCCAAATTGGTTCACTTAAAGAGTTAGGGAGCCAACATTCAAATGGTGACAGGAGGAGTTGGGGAAGGGAAGCATAATATCAAAATATATCATATGAAAATTTTTAAAATAAAATATCCACTAGATTATGGTTTTCAGTCTATTAATTAGGTGAATTCTATTGATTTTCAGAGTAAATACCACAATACATTAAGACTCCCCTATTCATTTAGTTTTGCGATCAGCCCTCTCTTGGATGTGGATTACTGAAAATATTTTGACATTCTGCAGGGTGTTCTTTTGTCTTATTGCAACTGGCCTTTGCCTTCCGGAAACTTTTCAGTTTCATGAGGTCCCATTTATTAATTTTCAATCTCATTGTCTGTGCTACTGATCTTCTATTCATGTAGTTGTCTCCTGTGCCAGTGTGTTGACGACTACTTTCCACTCTTTTCTATCAGGTTTACTGTAACTGTATTTTTGTTAAGGTCTTTAACACCATTGGATTTGATGATAAATATGGACCTATTTGTATTCTTCTACATGCTGATAACCAATATTGCCAGCACTATTTGTTGAAATTGCTTTCTTTTGTCCATTGTGGAATTTGGTCTTCTTTGTCAAAAATCTGGTGTGCATAGGTATATAGATTTATGCTTGGGTCTTTGATTTGATTCTATTGATCTACCTGTCTGTTTTTATACCAATATCATCCTGTTTTTATTACCATAATTCTGCAGTATGGCTTCAGGTCAGGAACTGTGATACCCATGGCAGCTCTTTTATTGTAAAAGATTGTTTTAGTTATCCTGGTTTCTTTTCATTAAAAAAAAAATATAGTAATCCAATTAAAAAGAAAGCATGTACAGAACTAAACAGAGAATTCTCAGCAGAAACACTTAAAGAAATGTTCAACATCCTTAGCCATCAGGGAAATGCAAATCAAAATGACTCTGAAATTCCATCCTACAGCTGTCACAATGGCTAAGATCGAAAACATTAATGGCAGTTTATGCTGGAGAGGATTTATAGCAAAGAGAACACGCCTCCATTGCTGGTGGGAGTGCAAACTTGTGTAGTCACTTTGTAAAGTAATATTGTTGGCTTCTCAGAAAATTGGGAATCAATCTACTTAAAGACCCAGCTATACCTCTCTTGGGCATATATCTAAAGTATGCTCAATAATTCCACAAGGACACTTGCTCAACTACATTGATACCAGCTTTATTCATAGCAGACAAAACCTGGAAAGAGACAATATATTCCTCAACCAAATATTGGATAAAGAATGTGTGCTATATCTATACAATGGAGTGTTATTTCGGTATTAAAATAATGACATTGTGAAATTTGAAGGCAAATGGTTGGAACCAGAAAAAAAAAATCATACTAAATGAGGTAACCCAGACCCAGAAAGGGGGTATGTACTCACTCAATAGATATTAGCTGTAAAGTAAAGAATAACTATGCTACAACTCATGAACCACGAGAGACCAGGTAATAAGGAGGACACAAAGAGGGATGCATGGATATCCCTGGGAAGGGGAAATTGAAGTGATCTCCTGGGTGGGGAGGGGAACTTGAGGGATCAGGTGAAGGGATGAATGGAGGAGAGGAGTGTTGAAAGAGATGACTGGAAAGGGAGGGGGCATTTCAGGATCAAGTAGAAATCTGATGAAAGGGAAACCCCCACAAATCTACAATAATGTCCCCAGCTAAGATTTCTAGTAATATTTAATATGTAATATGAACTGGCCTTCTCCTCTGATCAGATTGGTGACTACCCTGGTTCTCATCAAAGAACCTTCATTCATTAACTGTTAGAAACAGATGCAAGATTTACAGCCAAACATGACAAGCAAGGATATTCTGCTGAAGAGAGGGAGGAAGAATTGTAGGAGCCAGAGGTGTCAAGAATATCACAACAATACTTACAGATACAGCTAACTTGGCTCAGAGGAACTCATACAGTCTGACAAACATTCAGGAAGCCTGCATAGGACCAAACTAGGCCCTCTACATATGTGACAGATGTGTAGTTTGGTCTGCTTGTGGGACTCCTAACACCGGGAGCAAGGGCTGTCCTTAAGCTTTGACTGCCTCTTAGGAACCCACTCCAAATAATGCATTACCTTGTCCAGCCTTAGTACAAGGGGAGAGGATTAGTCCCACTGGAATTTGAGAATTTATGCTTTGATGATACCCATGGGAAGCCTGTCACCTTCCTTAACAGAAACAGAGAAGGAGGGATTGGCAGAGAGGGGGGTAAGAAGAGAGAAAGGAGAGGAAACTGTGGTTGGGACATAAAATGAGTAAATAAATTAAATTAAAACAAAAAACTCTCCTATTCAGATTCTGATGTCTTTCTTATGCAGTACAAGGATTAAGAAGCTGATATAGCCGCTGCATGCTCAGTAATCCTATTTTTGTGCTTGAATTGTTAAAGGGCAACTCTGTTTTGTGAAGGAATACTTTACAAAGGTAATTAAGGGAAGACAGTAATATTGCTCACAGTTTGAGGTTTCCTTCCACTGAAGCATAGCAGGGGAACACGGAACACCTGATTCAATTGCATCAGCAGACAACTCTGAATTTTTCGGCCCAGCTACCTTTGTCCTTTTTATTCTGCTTAGAATTCCAGCCTTTGGATGGTACTGTAGGACTAGCCAGCTACACTTTTAACAACCTTAATCTAAAAACTTCCTCACAGATATACAAAGATTTGTTTTGATGGCAATTCCAGATTCTTCCAGCTGAGAATCAAAATGAGTATATCTCCCTGTACTATTTTGTGACAGAGTTGAAAAGTCAGCCTGATTGTTTCTTATTCAAATTAGCTGAACCAGCTTTTCACCACCTTTTTTGGCTAAAGGTTGTACTATAAATGCATTTTTATTGTTGTGATGAAGGGCTATTCACGTGATTTCTATATTAGTCAGTCTTTAATGACATGTTTTTATAGAAATGTGTTCATGGTCTTTAATTCCATGTAAGAGCCTAGCATAATTCATTAAACGTTGTTACATATTTAATTTCTATATTGCTTCAGTGTTCTTGTTTCTCTTGCCTTGATAACTTCAGAATTCATTTCTTATTTTATGCCCTTTTTATTCATTCTGTCTGTCTGTCTTGTGTCTCTCTCTGTCTCTGTCTATCTTTGGCTCTCTCTCTCTCTGTATATACGTGTGTGTGTGTGTGTGTGTGTGTGTGTGTGTGTGTGTGTACAATTTGTAAACATAATGAACTTTTAATTTGTATTAGCTTCAGTGAATATGGTTCTAATTTTGTTATTTTCTTTCTGTGTACTTTGCATTTATCTTCCTAAACAGCATCTTTTCTAAGGATGCTGTTTTCTTTCAGTCTGTGGTTGTGTTTGACTTCAATTTTTTATGTCATTTGTTAATTATATTAAATATTTGCCAATTAGCAAATTATTTAATAACATTTTCCAATTCACTGTTTCTTCTATTTCAGTGCATGCTAGTAAATATTCTGTACATTTAAAAAATAGACATAGAAAGGTGTAACCCATTTCTATTTAATAATGGTTGTTATCTGTACATATTCATATATATGACCCACTTTTTATTAATAAGTTTTTGAAGTTTTCTATATATTTTTTCTAACTATTATTTAAATTTGCATATATAAAGTTTTCTATATATTTTTTTCTAACTATTATTTAAATTTGCATATAAATATGCATATTTCTACTTCCATTTTTTACCATTGTAGTTGATATTTTGAAGCAATATCTTCTGTATTTAAATTCTATTCATCTTAGGTTCAAACAGCAAGAATATTTCATGCATTTGTTTAGCAATAAGAGGTACAAAATAAAACATTATTTCAATTCTCTTTTTCTCCTGCTTACTCTTTGTTATGTCTTCATGCTCTACGATTTGCATTTCTATACCCTCAAGTTCTATGGTAACATAAACAGTATTCACTAACTACAGAAAGATTTTCATTATCTTATATTTTCATTGCTTATATTTCAGGTGTGTATTTTGAAAATGCCTGTGATGTCTCTAATGTTATTGTTGTGAATTATGTATTAATATAATTCCATCGAAAGATTCAATGGTATATAAAAGTCTTGCTGTGTTTCTTTGTAGGATGGATTTTAAAATAATCATCCAGAATTTTTATGTTGAAATTTAAACTTATACAGAAATATTAATATTCTCCACCACAGAAAGATTCTGTCGATGGGCCATTGTATCAATTCAGCTCACAAATTACCAAATATAATTTAGAAATAGAAATACACAAAAAGGTAAAGGGAAAATAAAATGAGCAAAATGAAATAAAAATATAAGTAAAAGAAATATATAAAGATATTTTATAATGTGGAATGAAGTTTTAAAATATTTTATGCTTTTAAAATATAATAGAAAAATGTTAATAGCCATTGTTATTATAACTACATAATTTTTTTAGGAAATATATTTCATTGTACAAATAAATTGGAAAATAATAATTATTGATTGATAACTATGAGAAAAAATTCTTCTCTATACTACCACATTAATTTTTATTGATGATACTTATATAAAAATAAATTCATGTCATTTATATTGTTTCTAATGAGATTAAATGAATTCTCACAGAAATTGTGCTTATGTCATCCACATGTGTATATAAATATGTTACATGATTGTATATTAACTAATTAATAAGGTAAAAAGTGAATTAAAAACCAGTAATAAAAACAGTATTTTATAATAATGTCTAAGTTGAAGTTATATATTTTCATTATTTGATTAATATTAGGATTTCAACTTCAAAATGTCATTTTTATCTTCAAATGAAACTAAATATCAAATATTGTTTTATACATTTGTCTTAGGTTTACTTGAACAATAAAAATGTATTTTGACTGAACTATAACAATCAGTTTTACTGGCCATAAAAAATGTATATTATTATATTGTGAATATCAACTTTTTCATTATTTATTTAGGAATGGCAAGCTCATTGAAGAAAATGAAAAATACATTTTAAAGGGCAGTAATACAGAGCTCACGGTCAGAAATATAATCAACAAAGATGGTGGTTCTTATGTCTGCAAAGCCACAAATAAGGCAGGAGAAGATGAAAAGCAGGCTTTCCTTCAAGTCTTTGGTAAGTATTACAATGCTGTGGTTATAATGTAATATTCATTAAGAGGGAAGGAAGTCAAAACCAATCTTTGCTCTGTTATTAGATGGAAACTCTAAACTTTCCATATATTAAAAACTGTTTCTTCATCTCAACAATGAAGATTAAATAATAAAATTTTAGACAGAATTATCTTAAGAAATACATGTGATGGAGGAGGGTCATCTGTCTCTTTGTTACTTTCATTTGGTTAATAAAGAAATTGCCTTGGCTTTTTGATAGGGCTGGATTTTGATAGGTGGAGTAAACAGAACAGAATGCTGGGAGAAAGAAAGCATAGTTGGTCAGACGCAATGGAGCCAGCTGCCAGGTCAGACATGCTGAATCTTTCCTGGTAAGCCACCACCTTGTGGTGCTACACAGATTATTAGAAATGGGTTAATCAAGATTTGAGAGTTAGCCAAGAAGAGGTTAGATATAATGGGCCAGGCAGTGTTTAAAAGAATACAATTTGTGTGTTGTTATTTCGGGGCATAAGCTAGTCGTGTGGGAGCCGGGCTGGAAAGCAGCCCGCCTTTCCTTTTACATACATGTAATAGTATGAAAATTTCATAGGATATTGATAGATGGTATAAAGAGAATTTGTTTACATTTTACCAATGAGCTATATATAAGATCATACATCTCTGAATAATTATCTTAATAAATCATTGAAGGAAACATTTTGGAATTAATTTTGCATTTAATAGTTTCAAAATTTCTCATGTATAAGGCTTGAGTTTATAAACATTTCCCTGTAGCTATAAGCAGTGTCTTACCATCTTAAAAGACACTGTTTAAGAATTACTCATATTGATTAAGAGACATATTGCTTTCCTGAAGCAACTTTCTGAGCATATAGCTTAGTAAAAAATATTGATTTTACTCTCATTATCTTGACAACTACAGAGAAAATTGCTCAAATATTGTGGGAACTAATGTTAAACAAGTTTTACAAAAGGCCTGGGTTCTGTTTCTAGTACCCACAAGGTGCTTCAGTACTGTTTGTAATTTCAGTTCCTGGTTATCTGATCTCTCCTTCTGGCCTCACTGGGTACTACCTGGAGGTGATATACAGATATGCACCCACACCAAACACCAATAGACATAAAATTAAATGAAAATATCCCTGCTTTAAAAAAGTAAATATATTACTAAAATTTAGTTAATTTTAACTACCTTTGCATATGTTTTAATCAAATTATTTTATAATAACTATACAAAGGAAAAATGTAAAATATATGGTTAAGAAAGGTATATGCTCATTCTATTGACTGTAAATATTTTTCTTACTTTGAATACAAGACAAATAATGAAACTTTCTGCCATCTGCTCTCTGTAATTTTAGCTGCTGTGTGGAAGCATTTACTGAATGGCAGAGACCTACATAATATCTATATTCTAGTAGGATGATGAGAAATTTTGATGAAAACATAAAACTTGAATAATAACACATTCCCAGAATAATGTGGGGTAAGATTAGTCAAGTTGCATTGAATAAAGACTGCCGTTTAGGTTAGTGGGGTTTTTCAGTTTCAAATTCAGGTCATGATAAAATGATAGTTACACAAGTCTTCAATGACAAAAACAAAAGCCAGCATAGGAACTCCCTATGGTGGAGAGGGGAAAACATTTTAGAAATATAGGAAATCCTTAGATTTTTCTAAACTGATTTCTCTTTTAAAATATTAACTCTGACATTGGTCAACCTAAGTAAAGATTCCTTAGTGTAAAGTAAATATTTAGAAATAACAGTGAATGAAAACTAAACCAAAACAAATCAAGCAAACAAACAAACAAAAGCCAACTTTAGCTCTTCTGTCTTTCCTGTTTCTCCAACACATTTTCATTTTTCTTTTCACTTGGTTTGATTTTAATTTCTCCAAAATTTTATTTTCATGGGGGGGCACTGCAATGCTGAATGGCAAATATGGAGGAACTGAGAAATGAGCAGAACTAGGGTGCATGATGTGAAATTAAAAAAAAAAAGTAATGATATTATATTTAAGACAAAAGAAAACAAATGCTAGGAAAATACCTTGTCATCATTTCTTCTTTTATTAGGTTGTTAGCATATGAGAGCAGAGAGACACATTAGGATTGCTAAAACATGAAAGGATGCACAAAACATCACATCACATCATTCTTGTGATCACCTTGTGAAGACCACTCATAAAATCTGTGTTTATTTTGAAAGATAAAATATATCTAAAAAAGTTAAAAGGAATAAATGTAAAATATGTTAAACTTTATCCAAGACATTCCTGGTATTAGGGATCTTATTTTGATATTAAGAAAAACTTAATTTTATTTTCTAGCTAATTATACTGATAGTGTATTATTCTTAAAGTTAAGTGTACTGACAACATACACCTGGATTTTAGGATCTTATCGATTTTATTTTGCAAATTAAGAAAGAAAAAAGAGAGAGAAAGAAAGGAAGGAAGGAGAGAGTGAGAGAGCAAGAAAGGAAGGCTGTGTTTTAATTAGGCTTTCTTTTGCTGTGAGGAAACACAATAACCAAAAGTAGCTTGGGGAGAGAATGGATTATTTCCTCTTACAAATCAAGGGTCACACTCTATTACAGAGGTCATGAGCTCAAAGCAGAAACCAAGAGGTGGTGCTAACTAAAGCAGAAAGCATGGGACTGGGCAAGTAGAAGCAGTTAACTGGTTTGCTTAGCTTTCTTTCATCTACAAGCCAGGACAACATGCCTTGGGTGACCTCACCCACAGTGAGATGTTTCCTCACACAGTCACCATCAATCAAGAAAATGCTCCTCAGGCTTGTCTACACATCAGTCCTGAGGAAACAACTAAGGGTCCATTTTCTCAGATGACATTAGTTTGTGTCAAGTTGATAAAATCAAAGCAAAAGAACAGCAACAATAACAAAACAAAACCACCAGAGGAATTAGCCAGGGCAGACAGGTAACACAAATTCCACATTTTAAAACATGGTGCTATTATGTAAATTGTAAAGGTAGGTATATTTTATTATAAAAAAAAATGTCATACCTTTTCTCATTCTGTGACCATTTTCATCATGTTGTGGTGACATCCCATAAAATTATTTTTGTTTTTATTTCATAATTGTAATTTTGCTGCTGTCATGAATTATAATGCAAATATCTAATATGCAGAATATCTGATATGCAACCACAGTGAAAAGGTTGTTCATCCCCCACAGCCCAGCAAAAGACTTATGACTCACAGGTTGAGAAACACCGATATAAAGCTATGTTAAAGTTAATTACATCCCCAGTTAGTCACTTGTAATTGCATGCAGAACAATGTTTCAACATCTCTTTATGTCATGGATAATTTCATGATTATTTTTAACTCTACACCTTAGGTATCAAATAAGCTGTAAACATTTGTCTACTTGCTGAGCTCATTAAAAGTTAAAATGCAAGAAATGACTAAAGAGATGCTCTAAATGTGTTCATTTGTGTTTGGATGCTTACAGATATGTTTCTTTAGTAGGAGATTTCAATTTTGTGGCTTTAGGAAATGAATAAAAGAATGTTACACCAAATTGGCAAAATTTTGAAAGGAATTATGTTTTATACTGATTTATAAGGATATACATTAATTATAATAAAAATAGATAAAGATTATTATCTATAATTTTTCCCATTCTTATTTGATTTTTTTTGGTATTTTAGAAAGTAAGTTGTAACTGCTATGAAATTAGTCATCTCATACAATTCAAATATGTAATGATTTAGTATGAAATTTTCATTGTGAATAGTAACCTTTCTGGGCTATTCATTTATTTGATTGAATAATATGTACAATTTTTACAGTACAGCCGCATATATTACAACTTCAGAATGAGACAACATCTGAGAATGGTCATGTCACACTCATCTGTGAGGCAGAAGGCGAGCCTATTCCAGAAATCACCTGGAAAAGAGCAGTGGATGGAGCCACATTTTCTGAAGGTGATAAGGTAATACTGCTCTTTCTAGAAGGAAAAACACAGAAGTATAAAATTTACCAACTTCTATAAACTAAATAAATGACTTACTTATTAAACCTACTGTAAAGTAAGTTTAAAAATTATTGTACAGGAGAAAATCAAGTCAATTACTATCACCTAAAATATATTTTATAAATTACAAAGTTCTAGGTTATTAATGTTACATTTAAAGTGACTTTCTTGAGGTTTTTTTGGTATACACTGAATTCCTAAAAGAACATAATGATAGTTTAGATTCTATCTTCTCTGTATAAATAAAGTCTTAAAAACTGTGGCAATCATTTAGCCTTTACTTTTCAAGCATATTTTTATGCATAGGCTTCTGAATTCGTGTAATGAAATCTCTAACAAAAAGGTATCAGGACAAACATACAGCATTTTGATGAGCTTTCACGACAAAGAATTGAGGTTATACAGAGTTTAAGTATTACTGTATACTGTACTTCATGAGTTTCTGTTATTGCTAATTTTCAGAATTACTCATATGATAATTTAAGTATACACAAGAAACAAAGAAATGATGTAGAATAGAAAAACAGAGAAAGGGGTAATGGCATTACTGGAATTGGTATTTAACATCTCTAAAAATATTTTGGTAGCATTATATGTATTGGAGTAATTTAAATGAATTAATACAACATTTTATGTATATATATATATATATATATATATATAATAAAATTAGTGAATGCACTTTGGCTTACTAATGTGATAATAGGAAAATTAGTAACTACTTAGTCTACAATACACTTCCTGTCCTTTCACCTGACCATGTTGGATTCAACAGCATATTATAATCATAATGTGAAAGGAAGTCAGTTTAGTTCTTTTCTCATTTGAAAGAATGTGTTGACATTTTTCCTGTGTCCTTTTGATGACATTTTTAACAGTGTATAACTCTTTAGAAAAATAATTATGTACATTCACTAGGTTTGTTTTATATGTTCAATTAAAAATAAAAGTATAAATTGTTCATGGCCACCATCATGTTTCAGAAGCATTACAGACTTTTCCTTAAAAATTTCCTATCTCAAGAAACAAAGGGATTGGTAGGAAAGAGGAAGGAAATCTAAAATGCACTGATGTCGGCAACATTAGCGAAAACATAATCAGATAATCTAAAATGATAATAAATTGTTTCAGTTTAGCATATTTCTGTGATTCAAGTAATTACGCTCATACCATTACCCTTCTTAGGAGTTTCTGTATATACCAAATTCACTGATTTCTTAATGTTTGTCTAGCTAAAAATTCTTCTTTTCTCCATGTTATCTCACTTTCTTCCTTTGACTGAGACTCTCATATGTACATGCTGAACATGAAGTATCTATTATTTTGGTATTTTCATCGATAAATTAACATCAAGTAAACAGAAACATCTGATATTTACTCTAACAGCTATGCTCCAAGCTGTTTCAAACCTGCCACACAGAAATTTTTTCCATAGTAGCTGTGGAAAGAAATCTCTTGTTTTTTTTTTTTGATTTGATAAGCAGTATCATTATTGAAGAAAACATTTCTTAAAAGCTTAAGTTAGAGTGTGGGTGCACCCCTCGTGGTCCTGAGTTCCTTGCTCGTGCTCCGTCTCCTTCTGCTCCTGATTTGGACCTTGAGATTTCTGTCCGGTGCTCCCATGTGGGTCTCTGTCTCTGTCTCCTTTCATCGCCTGATGAAGGTTAATATTCATGAGGATGCCTATACTGCACGTACTGGCTTTGTGGGAGCCTAGGCAGTTTGGATGCTCACCTTACGAGACCTGGATAGTGGTGGGCAGTCCTTGGGCTTCCCGCAGGTCAGGGAACCCTGATTGCTCTTTGAGCAGATGAGGGAGGGGGACTTGATCGGGGGAGGGGGAGGGAAATGGGAAGCGGTTGTGGGGACGAGGCAGAAATCCTTAATAAATAAATAAATTTAAATAAAAAAAAAGCTTAAGTTAGAGTCAAAAACTTAAATGTAAAAATATAATTTTTCATACAAATTCATACAATAGACAAAGAAATTAATCTAATTTCTATCATATTTCTAACACCATTTTAAGCATTCTGACTTATTATCTATGTATCATTATGTCTCTTTCCTGAAAGTATCCCTATTTTCCTCAACAGAAAATACACATTGAATAATTGAAATGATCTTTTAGGAAGGCAGGCCATTATTTTTAAATTTCATTTTTTACCGATATACCAGCTCAGCTTTGCCAATAGCATTTGGATTATTTAATGAAAATATTTCCATGCTTACAGAAATCATTATAACATGTATTAAATTCCTAATTTAATGACAAAGTGAAAAGTATATTGTCTCATGTCAATAATTTTGTTGCAAAGCTTATGCCAAGTGAATTTTGATTACTAATGATCTTTAGAAAGTGTGACACCTATGACCTGATTGAATATTCAATTTTATTGGTTGGACTGAGAGTGTATCAATTTAGTTATGGAAATTAACATGACATTGAATTTTCTAGCAATATCACTAGGAGATATTGTAATAATTCAGATTCTGTATTTTCAACCTTGAAGTTAATTCAATATTTTTTGTTCACAGCTGAGGAATATTTAATATATTTATTTGGAGCCACATGAGTTGAATTCAGGACACTCAGGAAATAGACTTTAGCTTCCTGGCTCTTTATCAAGACTAAATTCAAGAACTAATTATTTGAATAGGAAAATATTATTAACAATACTGTGTAAAACTCTGCTTGTGACTTGGAAAATACAACAGTTAGTAATAACAGCCACTTAGTCCAGTGCAATCAAGGCTTTGATGAAACTGAAAATCCATATTTGTGTTTTAGGAACCACACTAATATGTTTTCCAACAACATGAAGAGGTACTCATCCTTAAAAATATTTAAAAAGATTCTATGAAGTAACAGTTTTTGATTGCCTGTTTTATACTTGTGTTATAAAACATAATATGCTAGTAGAGACATAGTAGTCCATGAATTGTTGTTGCATGTAATTGACCGTATTTTCACTGCATTCCAATGTTACATATTGCACTCTAAGAGTTCGTGGTAGCAGAATTTTCAGACTTCACGTATGGGAAAAAAAAAATTCCACAGTTTCTTGCCGTGGATGAGAACATGAAGAATGGGTGTTGGAGTAAAAATACTTGAGTTGCAAGCATAAAAACCTAAGTTTGATTTACTTCCAGAGCCCATGTAAAAAGTATTGAGTGTGGTTGTCCACGTCAGTAGCCTCAGTCTATTTATTCCACAGTGTTTGACAGGCAGAAATAAGTATAAAATGTTTCTCTTTTGTATTATAGCCAGTTATATATCAACTCATTTCTTAAACCTGAAATAAGAGTGGAATAGTCAAAGATAGGTATTTAAAAGAGTTTCTTCTTTTGTAATAAACTTAAAAAGTTTGTGAATATGTTTGCTGTGTATATTTTAATCTTACGGATTTTTTAGAGCCTGCCACCCAGGTCCCATAAAATCACTCATGGAGTCAGGCGGTGGTGGTGCACGCCTTTAATCCCAGCACTTGGAAGGCAGAGGCAGGCGGATCTCTGTGAGTTCGAGACCAGCCTGGTCTACAAGAGCTAGTTCTAGGTCCGGCTCCAAAACCACAGAGAAACCCTGTCTCCAAAAACAAACAAACAAACAAAAAAAAAAATCACTCATGGAAGCTTATTCTTAGAAATGTTTGGCGTTAGCTTGACTTGTTTCTTGCCAGTTTTTCTTAACTTAAATTACTGCTACTACCGTTTGCCTCCGGGCTTTCACCTTTTCTGTTTTCTGTATATCTTACCTTTACTCTTACTCTGTGGCAGGCTGGTGGCTTGGTGCCTGCCCTTTAGAGTCCAACTCTCCTTGTTCTCTTGCTGCTCCTGCTTCTCATTTCTCCTGACAGCCCCGCCTGTCCTGCCTGGCTTTTGGCCTTTCAGCTCTTTATTAGACCATCATGTATTTTAGACAGAGGAAGAATCACTACTTTGTAGAGTTAAACAAATGCAGCATAAATAAAAGAACACATCTTTATATCATTAAACAGATGTTACTCAGCACAAACAAAAGTGACACACCTTAAAATAATATTTCTCAACATATGTTAATAGCCCAGTAAGCTTGGTGATAATAACATTTTAGAAGTCTGTGACCATAGTATCACAGTTTTCAGTTGTCTTACTTTCTAGACATGTTTATAACTATGCTTTAGTTAGGATTTCCTATTGACATGAAAAGACACCATGACTACAGTAACTCTCATAAACAAAACATTTAATTTTTGTGTCTCCTTTATAGTTACAGAGGTTCAGTCCATCATCATGGTGGGATGCATGGTGGCATGCAGGCAGACATGGTGCTGGATATATCTTGGTTTGGAGGCAACAGAAAGTCACTTGAGATACTGGACACAGGAACCTTAAAGCTTGCCCAACCGTGACACACTTCCTGCTACAAAACATAAACACTCTAACAAAGCCACACCTCATAATAGTACTACCCCCTAAGAGATTATAGGGGGAAATTGCATTCAAACTAGCACATTCTCCTCCCAGGCCCCCATAAGCTTGTAACCAATATCACAAAGCAAAATTCATGTAGTTCCACTTGAAAAGTTCCCATGGTTTATCATAGTTTCAACAATGATTTAAAGTCCAAAGTTCAAAGTCTCTTCTGAGATTCATGCAGTTTTTTAAATGTAATCACTGAAAAAATAAAAATGAAAAAGTAGACCACAAGCCTCCAACATATAATGGGACAGGATATATATTTCCCTTCCAAAACTTAAGGTAGGAACATAGCTAGGAACTAAATCGAGACCTAAAACCAGCTCGGCAAACTCCAATTTCTTCATCTCTGTGTCTAATGTCAAAAACTCTTCGGCTCTCCCATTCCCTTCAGCTTTGGTAACTGCAACAAACTTGTTTGTCTTGGGCTGGCCTCACTCTCTGTTAGCAGCTCTCTTAGGCTGGTGTCCCATGACCCTGGCATCTCCAACATCTTGGGTAAG